TTGCAGGCTAAGTCTGCCACAAGCTTTTCTGATTCAGGAGTGAGCTAAGGTACACTAGTTAGGTATGTTAAGTGCAGAACCCTTCTTTTTTAGGGAATTATCCTTTGGGTAAAAGGATGAGAAAGGGAAGTGAACTTTCTAGCTTAGGATACATAAGCAGCAAAATTTGTAGAGGCAAATGGTCTCTTCTGTTTCTTCAGCCACTGAGTAACCAGTGTCCCTCCATTTGCCTTAAAAGAAATGAAATATCAATAAAAAGAGTCTTGATCTGTGCTAAATGATAAAACCTCCATCCTAGAATATCCAAGTGCTGCTTGGTTTAGTGCCTGAATAACTGTTATCTAAAATTAAGAACCCACTATTAATTCATCAATCAGTTTGACAACTTGTGGGAAAAGCATCTTTTACTACATGTGAAGTTGTCGAGATACCAGCTCATTATGAAACAGACATTTTCAACTCCTTGATATAACTAACCCTATTAATTGGAAAAGCTTCTTAAAGTGTGGCATACAAATAATATATTGTAATGAATTCTTCAAGCACAAATAGGGGCTTCTGCTAAACAGTGGGAATCTGCTTGGGTTTGCTTCTGTGCAAATGGCACAGTGGAGATTGCCAGTGTGGGAACAGAGAGGCTCGGGTAACATGGTGGAGAAGAGCCTGCAGCGCAGGGCTTCACATGGGAACAGATGCACTATTCCTGGCGCTGGTGCAGTGTCAAATCTGGTGCAGTCAGAGTGACTGCTCTCTCCTGCCCATAGACAGCACCTGCAAGTGGAAGTCACAGGAGAGCTGTAGGGCTGATATGGGAGCATGCTTCTTTTAGGGTGCTGCCAGAGAGGGCTGGGAGATGACAAGAGTGAGTCCTTCCTCTTCTACATTCCCCCTCTAAATCCAGTGTTTGTGTATGGTTAGTACTAGGCAAATCATGCCTAGTACATAATTCAGCACAATCTAACCTCAAAGAGGCTGGCCATGGTTTAAAGGTAAGTCAAGATTCAGAATTTGTTGAAAAAACTGATGTCTTCAGGGAAGTTACGGCTGCTTCCATCAGACTGAAACTGGTCCACTCTGTTTACTTCTCTGAAGCATGGTGTCACTAAGACATTGCCTTAACATGCAGTAATGTGTTTTGATAAAACATGTAAAACACAATCTCTCTTTTTGTAATGCTCATACGGCCTTTGGCAATACAACTAAATGAATTGTAGTAAATAGCTCTTGCCAATTTTGTGTACCTGTAGTGTTTGGTTTAAAAATAAGAATAACAAAGTGGGGAACACTGAAAACAGATTTTAGTGTTATATATAACTAGTACAAGACAAATTAGGTAATTTGTTCTTTATAGTGTTCTCTGTATAGCTGTTTAATATTAGTGAAGTTCTAAGCTGAAACAGGTTGTAAAGTAGCTTGTAGAGTCATGAAAACATGAGATTTTATCTAACTGAAATCTCAGAATGGTTTGTAGCCTGATCTCATGCTTCATACTTGAATATAACAGGTAATCTAAAAATCTTCTCTCTACCAGTCTTCAAATTGCATGTTCTTCTGTGTGACATTTACTCCTCCTTTATGCCACATGTGAAAGTAAAATGTAACCCCTTATCCATGCTGCTGTTGATTACAATATTAAAATAGAATTTTGAAGTCCTTTCTCCAAACATGTATTTGATGTTTTTTCTTTGTAACTCCAGGTGTAAGGATTAGCTTTGAGCTCCAGATGTAAGGATTAGCTTTGTGCTGCTGCTGCTTCCATTGTTATCAGTGGTTGTCTTTGTTTGAAAGCATTGCAGCACATTGGAACACCAAGAGGCTTGCTTTGAAGGAAGTCTCAGCTTCTAGCTTTTGTGCATGTCAGGTATTCTGGGGGGAGCTACCACATTCTTGTGCCAGCATCATCAAGAAGATGAGGTGCTTCTGTTAATCTGTTTGCAAAGTGAGGAATAGTTGTGCACAACTGAAATGCTTACACATACTTTTATTTAATTAGGGGCTATAACATGAAATACACGCAAAAGAAAACGAGTGTGTATTTGATAATTTGGTTGGAGTTTTTGTTGTCTGTGCAGAATTTAACTGTTGCATCATATTTCCTGGCTGGTTTTATCAGAGGGAAAAAGCAATGCTTACGCAAAATTAAAAGCAGATTGCATTTCATCCAAGAAGAATGTGTCCTTGTCAGAGACTGTCGCAGATTGAGTTCTGGTAGACTTTTCACTAAATCATATTGTCATTTGGGGGAGGTGGAACTCGCCTCATTTGCACTCGGTATCCAGCGCATTAGGAGCACATGCTAATAAATTCGCAGCTGCTTTTATAAGCATACTTTATACAGCATGTCTTAGTGTGATGGCTACATTGAAATGGTACATGTTAACCTCTTTTGAAACTATTTTATGTGTATGATAATTAGGTTGCTACTTGTGTTAAGTAATTTTGCAAATGCCTTCTGAATGTTTTTCTTGCCCAGTGCATGAATTCTTTATAAATTGGGACTTGTCAGTAGGCTATCTGGGAGCTCAGTGGAAAGGCACAGGCATGGAATAGAATCACAGAATAGTTAGGGTTGGAAAGTACCTTAAGGTCATCTGGTTCTAACCCCCCTGCCATGGGCAGGGACACCTCACACTAAACCATGTCACCCAAGGCTCTGTCCAACCTGGCCTTGAACACCACCAGGAATGGAGCATTTACAGCTTCCCTGGGCAACCCATTCCGGTGCCTCGCCACCCTTACAGTAAAGAACTTCCTCCTTATATCCAATTTAAACTTCCCCTGTTTAAGTTTTAACCCATTACTCCTTGTCCTATCACTACAGTCCCTAATGAAGAGGCCCTCCCCAGCATCCTTACATGAAGCATGCAAAATCTCCTTTCAGTGAACCGCTGTCCATGTTTGATCAGTCCATCTTGGTTTATTCTTCAAACAAGTTAGTGAAGTGCTGAGCCTTTACTTTCCTACAAAACTGATAGCTTTATGTTATTAACTGTGTGGGTAGCAGCTAACTTCAGGGATTTCATTCTGAGGTTCAAATCAAGATATTGGTTCAAATTGAGAGTGCCATGGTAAGGGGAGGATATGTTGGATATAACTCCCCCCCCCCCCCCCGTAATAGTTTTAAAAGGCAGTGATATGTTGAGGCTTTTTTGCTTCAAGCTGCTTTACTCTGGTTCGGAAGACTGCTCTGTATTTTAAAAACTATATTGTCATCCCACCTGCTACTCTGTTATCCTGGGTTTGGTGTGGTGGACTTTTTGGTTGGTTGATTTTGGTTTGGTTTTGTGGGTTTGGTTTATTTTTGGTTGGCTTGTGTTGGTGTTTTTTTGAGAGCTTTCTGGAGCACATGGCACATCCTCCTTTTAATGTAGCTTGACACAAATGCAGAAAACCTTTTGCGCTTCTCTTTCTGTTGGTTGGGGGTTTTGTTTGTGTGTATGTGTTTTTCTTTGGGTTTATGTAGGTGGTTTGTTGGCTTTGTTTCTCTCTCCATCTCTTCCCACCCACCCCCCCCCCCCCCCCCCCCGTCTCCATTGTGGCTATATTAGTATATAACGTGAAATTTGTGTAATAATGCTTAAACTTATAGTACATGTTTTGTATGTGGTGAAAATGGTGGTATGCCCTTGGCTCATGTAACACATGTAGTAGAGAAACTGGGGATCGGTGACTGAGAGACTTATCTGCTTTGTTTTTAAAGAGCCTCTTCTGATGCAGTTCTAAGGCTTGGAGCTGTGGATTTTAATTAGTTTTATTTAAAATACATTTTTGATCATTCAATCCTTCAGGGCTGTGGAATTTTGACTCAATTCAAGCTGTTGGGGGTTCATGCTTGCCAAAAGGGAAGAGGCCTAGCCATCTAGAGCATAAAAGTCCCCTTTTCCTTTCCGTAAAGCCAAGTTCTACTTGGGGTGTTATAATGCTTACTGCAGGGTAGGATTTAATTATAATTCAAACGAATTTGGGGAGAATGGCATGAGAAGCCTCGTGCTATTTAGTCCATGATCAGTTTTGACCAAATCTGAATGCTGAAGCAGCAGCTCTGCCCTTTCTGAATACGTTCAGAGGTGAGAAGCCCTTGACTACATAAGAACCTCTTAAAAGTCAGCAGACTGCCAAGTATTTGCCATTTTCTGGCTATCATATAAGAAGTATGTTTTGTAATTCCTAGGATAAGACCTTCAGATGATGATAATGTTCCTGCTGTGATAGGAAGAATCCCTATTTTTTTGGCGCACTTCCCAGGTGCATGCTGCAGTGACCAGGAATCCCAGTCCTTCAGTTGCATCTGGCAGCACTTTGAATTCCTTTTTCCATGTGAATTCCAGAGATGATTTAAAATCACAAATTTCCTTCACATCTGAACTGTAAGAAAGAGAATTTATAAAGGCATCAACCATGATATGGTAGCTGTGCCTGATTTTTTTTTTTCCTTTTTTTTTTTTTCTTTTTAGTGTAATGCAGACATTATGGAGGCAGAAATGTAGCATCTCTGTATATACAGTTAAATGCTTCTGAGCAGTTGTGTAAAGCAGGACAACCTACACCAAACACCTCAGACCCACCAAATCAGAGTGGCTATATCCCAGCTGTCAATTGCTGCAGGTGCCTGAGCTGTGGGAATTGCCTGGGGGACACTCAGAGCCAGCCCACCAGCATACCAAACAGGACTGTTCCAGCAAATTCTTTCTGCACAGATGATCGAATGACATGCCCAGGAATGTTCTCAGGTTTACTGAATTTGTTACTAGAAACCTGGCCAGTATTGCCCTCATCTTTGAGCTGTTTGGAAATACTGTTTTTCTTAATAGAAATTTGTCACAGTTTCTGACTTAAAACTTGTTCCAGTCTGTGGTTGGTATCTGCTTTTAACTACTGTCTTTCCACTAAAACAATTAGTCCCTAGGTTCATGTATATGGAGCGTGTGTGTATATGTGGGTTCTGTGTATATGCATAATACATATTTTTCTTGGTTTTAAAACATTTTTCTTCTTTTCAGTGGGATGCCATAACTGAAATGGATGAACACAATCGTCCCATTCATACTTACCAGGTATGTAATGTGATGGAACCAAACCAGAACAACTGGCTTCAAACAAACTGGATCTCCCGTGACGCTGCACAGAAAATTTACGTGGAAATGAAATTTACCCTGAGGGACTGTAACAGTATTCCATGGGTACTGGGAACCTGCAAGGAAACTTTCAATCTGTACTACATGGAGTCAGATGAGTCTCATGGAGTAAAATTCAAACCAAACCAATACACTAAAATTGATACTATTGCAGCTGATGAGAGCTTTACCCAGATGGACTTGGGTGACCGCATTCTTAAACTCAACACAGAAGTTCGTGAGGTTGGGCCAATAAACAAGAAAGGATTTTATCTTGCTTTTCAGGACATCGGAGCATGCATTGCTTTGGTCTCAGTCCGTGTTTATTACAAAAAGTGCCCTTTCACAGTCCGAAATTTGGCTATGTTTCCTGATACCATTCCAAGGGTTGATTCTTCCTCTTTGGTGGAAGTACGGGGCTCCTGTGTCAAGAGCGCTGAGGAACGTGATACTCCAAAATTGTATTGCGGAGCAGACGGGGATTGGCTTGTGCCTCTAGGCCGATGCATCTGCAGCGTAGGATATGAAGAAGTGGATGGCTCCTGCCATGGTAAGAAAACATTGCTTGCTTTTGTGATTGGTTTGTTAAGGTTTTCTGGTTGGTTGTTTTTGGTTTTGTGGGTTTTTTTATTCTTAAAGAAAGGAAAATAATGTTATGATGTTATATGCACGGTGAAGAGCTCGTGTAGTAGAAATATGGCATCATATTTTCAAGGAATGCCTCTGTGGAGAAATAAGCAAGGTTATTTGAAAGCAATATACTGTGGATTTCTAAGAAAAGAGTTACTCAGGATGACTTTCATGTTGTCTAACTATAGATGCGCATATCTGTATATCGGATAGTCACCTTGGCTCCTGTACTACTGGGAGATAAGCGCATGCTTTGGAGGAAGATTTCTCTCCCGTATTTTAGATATCTGTCACAGGATGAGATGAGCAGCGACTGACAAAAAAGTTCTTCTTTTCCCTCTGTATGCCTAAACAGAGAATCTAGTCACAGTACCATAGGATTGTTTAGGTTGGATAAGACCGTTAAAATCATAGTCCAACCATCAGTGTAGCACTGCCAAGTCCATCACCAAACCGTGTGCCTAAGTAACACAACTGCACATCTTTTAAATACCTCCAGGGACAGAGGTTCAGCTGCTTCCCTGGGCTGCCCATTCCAATGCTTAACAGCCCTTTTGGTGGAAAAAAAAATTCCTAATATCCAATCTGAACCTCCCATGGGACAATCTGAGGCCATTTTCTCTTTGTCCTATTGCTTGTTCCCTGGGAGAAGACGTCAACACCCCTCCTTCTTTCAGAGAGCAATAAGAAAGATGGAAAGCGATAAGATCTCCCCTAACTACAAAGGGAAACATGTTTTCTTTCCTTATCAGCCCCTCACTTTCATAGGTAGGAGAGTAAACACATGCAGGAGCAAAAACGTATGTCTTCTGTGCAATCCAAGTGCTGTTGTGCCTCTACCACTTTTGAAAGTGTGATTGCATTTGTCAGACTTTGTGATAACTGGATTTCATGCGCAAATGGAAAAATTCAGATTACTTTTGTGCAGTTTAGAACATGAATACATTGCTAAAACTGTGAATGTTGTGTATACTTGGGTAAAGCCCAGGACTCTGAGCTTTTATAGGTTCAATTTAATAGTACTATCCATGGAGAATGTGTACATTGAGACTTGTTTTCCACCTGCCAGGACTGCTGGATAGGTGACACCCATAAAAAGCATGTATCTTTTCACACCACACAGTTTCTTAGGAGTTAGTTGTTTTGTTAGCTAAATTGCTGCTAAAGGATAAGTGCACTTTGTATGTTATCTTTTACTGTACATAATAGTTTCACAGTGACTTGAGAATAAGGTGCTTTTCCTGTAGCAGTGGTTGTGGAGAAAGCCTCAATAACCATGGAGGTTCAACATTCGCTTTGTAGCAAGAAGGAAGGGAAAGAGTCCATGTTCATTCATCTCACAAGTGTCATTGTTGTTGCCCAAATATTTTGCTCTACAGCTCCTAAGATTTGATGGTACTAGGCAAGCTGCATGGCAACCTTAGGTAATATAGAGCATTAAAAGCACACTACGTGTTGTAATCAAAAAATGGAATTCAGTTTATCTGATCTTGCTGGCATTGATTATCAAAGTGTACTCATTGCAAAGATAGAATTTTGATGTTTTCATTACTGGAAGCAAGTATAATTTTCTACATAAGGTCAAAAGATGTCTCTCTTAATGGATAAGGATTTTCTTCGAGACATTAACACTCAGTGAATTTCAGTCCATTACATGAGTCATACTACATCAGCATCAGCAATATAACCAGCAAAGTCCACAAGAAAACCTGTCAGGAAACTTCTCTGCTATGCATTGATTCCACTTGTTTCTTCAATTGGCAGTCCAGTTTGCTGCTGAACGGGTACCTCCCAAGTGAAATGGAATACCCAAAGCCATTAGTGTTTCCATATTCTTATCTATTTGACCCAAAAGAAACAAATTGGTGGTTTAAAAAATCATAATCTACTAGAACTTCCATATATGTTTTGAAATAATTTTCGTAGGTGTCTGAAGTTGTCCATTTATTCATCTTCAGTGTATTGGAATGTTAATACTACTTTTAGTGTCATGTTTTTCAAAGTAGATTTGTCTTGCATTCCATCATGAGCATCATGCTTAAGACAAGCCCAAATGTATGAGATACTTCCGGAAGTGAAGAGCAGCAGTTTAATTTCACTAGTGCCTGTTCTCCATGTCTTGTGATTAAAGCATGAATTGGGAGGGTTACTGTCAGGGTGGCCGTGTTTCTGTTGGTGCTAAAGCTGCTGGTGGAGATGTATGCTTGGGCAGGTGGGAATGCACTTTACAATGTGGCTGCTTTGAGCATTGTGAACTGAAGAGAGTTCACTACCTATGTGTGTCTTTCAGAGAACAGAAATGCCCTATTTTGAGACTTTGCTTCTTGCCTGAGACACGAATCAGAAATTAGGAGTTTAAAAGATTTGTCACTTGTCAGTACATCCTGAACTATTTCATACCCATTAAATTGTAAGATACCTGAACATTGCTGACTTTCTAAAGTAAAAACTGGAAAATTTAGCTTGGTTTGGAGAGATGGATTGGGGGAAGGAGAAGCTGCTACATCTTAGTCTGGTAAGAAGCCCTGAGATGCATTTAAACAGTCTTCATGTCCTCTAGGTCCCTTACCCAAATCCAAAACCAAAGCCTTTTTGTCCCTTCTATTCCACTGCTGGAACTACAAATCTGAGTCTTGGACGTATTTGATGCCATTCCGTCAGTGCTTCTTGTAGACGTACTCTGTGACATATTCAGAACTGATAACTGTTTCTTTCTTCCGTGTTAAAATAACTTTCAAAAATAATAATTTGTATTTTAAAATCTGTTCTGGCAAGCAAGTGGTTGGTGGGCAATACTTGCTAATACTTGAACATTTTTTCTCGTTTGCAAATGGTGTCAAACGTGAAGTTATCCACCAGCACATATCTCAGTTGAGGAAGAGTAAGCTCTTCATGGCAAGTATGGCTTATCTGTCACAGAATTTAAGAAGTAAATTTTTGTTTGATATTTGTGGAGTTACACAGTCTCTATTCACTAAGCACTAAACGGCGTAAGGAATTATATTCAGCCTTTGTTGTTGCTAACAGTTTCACAAAGGAGAAACACTGGGAATCAAAAAGGTTTTGATCAGTTTTAGCACTGCTGTTAAAACCATAGTGAAGCAAGTAAAGCAGATTTTGGCAGTTGAAAATAACCTAACTGGCAATGCCTCAGTTACTTCGATCTGTGCGGTTTATGCATATCTCTGTCTGTGAATTTATCAATATTCCCTATCCGTTGTATTTGCTTTTAAAAAGATCATTTCTGAGTGAAAGAGTCTGAGAAGAATTCACAACTGGATTAAAATATCTATAGTTACTAAATGCACACCCCAGTGTGTCGAGAACAGTTCATTTACTGTAGGTAACAGTGTGTAGGTTACTGTTAAGTAATGTACAAGATCTGTAGGTAACTTGTTCAAAGTGTCTGAATATACTCAACCACATCTAACTGGTAGCACACTGCCAAAAATGAGACTTGATCTGAACTCGAGTACTGTTCACGTTAGAGAAAAAAGTATGTGCTTACAGTAGATTAACATTTAAATGCCTGTCTGTTGTGGGGGGCTGTTGCAGATGCTGCTGGTAGCAGTTTTATGTTCATGCATACTGGTTTTAATTCCTAAATTGCAGGTCATGTGCCAAACTATTTCATGCTGTAGCTCACTTTTTGCCTACTTGCAAATAGAGAATGCTCTTGTCCTTAAGGCTCGCAAGTAGTGTGAATTAAAATGATACTGTTGCCTAGATGAAGTAGGAGTAAAATTATGTGTGGTGGACCACGTGAAATGGATGTGATATAACTTACTATCAGAAAGATCGATTTTTACTGAGTTTGACTAGTCTGAAGAGATACAACTTTGCTGTATTAAAAGACTTTGCCTTTTTCTCAACATTTTTGGGTTGGTTTGATAGCTTTTCTATTTCTTGACAATTACATTTGTGCTCTTTCTAACACAGTGGGTGGGTACCAGGCTGGTTTCCACAAAGCTTGTAAAGATATGTATGGTTTTGGTTTGATTTGTTTTGTTTTGTTTGTGTGCATTTGGCTGCTTTTTAGGAGCATTTTGATATCTTCTTTTCAGTGTCTTAAAGCTGAGGATATTTCTCAAGTTTGTTGCTGATCTTTTTGTTTGTTTGTGGCTTTCTTACTGCTGCAGAGTGTTAGGAATTAAGTAAGTATGTGAGGGCACCTGTCCTCAATGGCTGCCCGAGTTAGCCAGAACATTCTCAGTACCATATAAATTCATGTTGCAGCTCACACCCCCTACCCTGCGGCCAGGCCATTAACCTACAGCCATCTGCAGATCTGTTTAGTTGGAGAAATTGTAACACAAGAAATTTGATAAAGCAGCTGGAAAGGGGCAGTGCTTCAGAAGTGAGGATTTATGAGAAGGCAAGCAAAAGACCTTTTATTTGATTTTATGTAGCAAGGAAACCTCACTGATATTAAATGAGCGCAAGTTGTTGACACACTCCTGTACCATCATACTGACTTATCTTGCATTCTTCTGAGCAAATAAGAAACCTTGTGATAGCCACCATTAGCTGGTTTCCAGAATATTTCACTTGTAAAAGTTCAAATTAAAGCCTTGATTTTTCTAACTGCATTTGAATAAATTAAGCATCTATAGGAAATTTGCTGTTTGCAAACAGAATTAATCCTCAGAAATTACTGGTTTTCACTTTGATTCCGAAATGCGTATCGAAGTATAGTATTGGTGTGAAATCTACTTTGATGGTTGAACCTCTTGAGGCTTTAAGGGGCCAAGTGCAGGGTCCTGCATCTGGGGCAGGGCAACCCCTGGTACCAATACTGGCTGGGGATGAAGTGATAGAGAGTACCCCAGAGGAGAAGGACCTGGGGATATTGGTAGATGAAAGATTGGACATCAGCCCGCAATGAATGCTTGCAGCCTAGAAGGCCGATTACATATTGGG